GCGTTGCATGTAAATGTGCTGACATAGAACATGCTGATAGGAGGAGAGGGAGCAGGGTGGGCAGACATCAGTCTTCTGCTGCTCTTTTACTTATCAGCCACAAGGCTCGGAGGGTGGAGACAGGACACCATGGATTTCCCTTAAAGGAGAACTATGGGGTCAGTGTTTTCCCCCATAGTTCTCCTCAGGGTAACTGGAGAACACAAACTAGCGTCCTCCCGTCACCCTAAGCTCAGTATATAGGGAGCTACAGCTCGCGGTATACTGAGACGCCGCAGCTGAAGCGGATCCCGACAATTATGCCGAGATCCGCCAAGCTGCGTGACTGACAGCTGGCTCTGCCTATCTAGAGGCAGAGCCAGCTGTACCCGCCCCCTCCCCCGTCCGTTCCGCCAGTCAGCGCTGGTGGATCGGAGCGGGGAGGGGGGAATCCGGCCCCTCCCCGGTCTCGCAGAGAGCTTTGACAGGATCGAGAGGTGAGCGAACGCCGGTATGTGTCACAGGTCGGCTAGAACTATGAGGTGAGTGAAAAGCACCTCCCCCCCTCATCTGCCTGGCTGTGTTGCATCTCCAGTCAGTGAGTTTGCCTAGGCTGAAATGATGTCACATGTCTGCTGCAGGCAGGTGGAAGCATTTCCTCAGTCCCCCCTCCCCCAGTGATCAGACTGCAACATTGTAACTTTGTAGCCAGTCACAAGATGCGAGGCTGCACCTGGGGCTGATCAGCGTCAGACATTGGTGAACACAGCCAGGAACTGCACAGTCACCAGGATTTAGCTGATTGCGTCATCTCTGAGCCCCCATCTCAGTCCAGGAAGTAGATGGTGACCCTGGATGGTGGCTGAACAAAGATGGCGCCGCCCTTCTGGAGAGAAAGGCAGATGAAGACATTGACAGGGGGAGGACGGTGAGAGGTGATACGTACCTGGAAGAATGACACATTACACAAAATGCTAAAAAATAATCTGACGCCAGGTCCAATCTAGATACTGTGTGTATATGAGTGTGATCGGCTTACAGTGGATATGAACCCTGAGCTGGCTTTTGGTTTGTGCACGAGCTGTCCATCATGAACAGTTTTGAAATGCTATTTTATTTGTTATCATTTGTTCCATCTCAGTGCTGCTGATCTCCCGCAGTCTCTGTACAGCCACTTCCTGTCTAAGTGCACTCCGGTGATGACTGCACGGTGACAACAGTGGACCGTGTCTGTGTCATGTGTGCTGGAAAGTCTCTATTGGAAGCCCGTGTGACAGGGCGACAAATACATGAACTGCATCTTTTACATGTAAAACTTCATACAATGTATTATGATGATGATTATTGGAGTACCGATACTTTTCCTCAAGTACTCGCCGATACCAATTACCGATACCTTTTTTTTTTTTAGTGTCATGTGACATTTTTTCCAAAACAATGCAGATCAATGATTTTAGAACTCTGGTGGAGAGCACGAGCCAGGTCCCAGCTGCAAACTCTGCACCCCTGGTAGTTCTGCCACTGACTCCAAGTTGTAGGGGGGACTACAAATCCCAGCAATACATTATACAGCAATGCAGAATAACAGGAAGCTACATGCACTGTGTTGCTCATCAGGGCTGTGTGCAGGATCTCGCCAGGGCTGTGTGCAGGGACTCGCCAGGGCTGGGTGCAGGGCGTCGCCAGAGCTGGGTGCAGGGTGTCGCCAGAGCTGCGTGCAGGGTCTCGCCAGGGCTGCGTGCAGGGTCTCACCAGGGCTGCGTGCCGGTCAGTGCGTGACTCACCGTGGTTGCATGTGGATCTCACCAGGTCTTATCAGGGCTGCGTGAGCAGATGCGGGTCTCACCAGGGCTGTACGGGCGGGTGTGGGACTCCAAGCTGTAGAAGTACTACAAATCCCAGCAATACATTATACAGCAATGCAGAATAACAGGAAGCTACATGCACTGTGTTGCTCATCAGGGCTGTGTGCAGGATCTCGCCAGGGCTGTGTGCAGGGACTCGCCAGGGCTGGGTGCAGGGCGTCGCCAGAGCTGGGTGCAGGGTGTCGCCAGAGCTGCGTGCAGGGTCTCGCCAGGGCTGCGTGCAGGGTCTCACCAGGGCTGCGTGCCGGTCAGTGCGTGACTCACCGTGGTTGCATGTGGATCTCACCAGGTCTTATCAGGGCTGCGTGAGCAGATGCGGGTCTCACCAGGGCTGTACGGGCGGGTGTGGGACTCCAAGCTGTAGAAGTACTACAAATCCCAGCAATACATTATACAGCAATGCAGAATAACAGGAAGCTACATGCACTGTGTTGCTCATCAGGGCTGTGTGCAGGATCTCGCCAGGGCTGTGTGCAGGGACTCGCCAGGGCTGGGTGCAGGGCGTCGCCAGAGCTGGGTGCAGGGTGTCGCCAGAGCTGCGTGCAGGGTCTCGCCAGGGCTGCGTGCAGGGTCTCACCAGGGCTGCGTGCAGGGTCTCACCAGGGCTGCGTGCAGGGTCTCACCAGGGCTGCGTGCAGGGTCTCACCAGGGCTGCGTGCAGGGTCTCACCAGGGCTGCGTGCAGGGTCTCACCAGGGCTGCGTGCAGGGTCTCACCAGGGCTGCGTGCAGGGTCTCACCAGGGCTGGGTGCAGGGTCTCGCCAGAGCTGCGTGCAGGGTCTCGCCAGGGCTGCGTGCAGGGTCTCGCCAGGGCTGCGTGCAGGGTCTCACCAGGGCTGCGTGCAGGGTCTCACCAGGGCTGCGTGCCGGTCAGTGCGTGACTCACCGTGGTTGCATGTGGATCTCACCAGGTCTTATCAGGGCTGCGTGAGCAGATGCGGGTCTCACCAGGGCTGTACGGGCGGGTGTGGGACTCCAAGCTGTAGAAGTACTACAAATCCCAGCAATACATTATACAGCAATGCAGAATAAAAAGCCCCAGTGCTGTGCCGGGGCTCACTATGGCTGTGCAGGCGCTAGGAAGGAGGAGATACGCGGCTGGACCGGTGCTGTAAACAGACGCTGCGAGGTCCCCAGAAGGCTGCGGCAAGGTCCCCAGCAAGCGCAGGACCTTACGCCAGGCGCTCGTGTTTAAAGATTTAAAGCGCTGATATCGGTGCTTAGTATCGGGGCATTTTCATGGGACTCGCCAGGGCTGGGTGCAGGGTCTCGCCAGGGCTGGGCGCAGGGTCTCGCCAGGGCTGGGCGCAGGGTCTCGCCAGGGCTGGGTGCAGGGTCTCGCCAGAGCTGCGTGCAGGGTCTCGCCAGGGCTGGGTGCAGGGTCTCGCCAGAGCTGCGTGCAGGGTCTCGCCAGGGCTGCGTGCAGGGTCTCGCCAGGGCTGCGTGCAGGGTCTCACCAGGGCCGCGTGCAGGGTCTCACCAGGGCTGCGTGCCGGTCAGTGCGTGACTCACCGTGGTTGCATGTGGATCTCACCAGGTCTTATCAGGGCTGCGTGAGCAGATGCGGGTCTCACCAGGGCTGTACGGGCGGGTGTGGGACTCCAAGCTGTAGAAGTACTACAAATCCCAGCAATACATTATACAGCAATGCAGAATAAAAAGCCCCAGTGCTGTGCCGGGGCTCACTATGGCTGTGCAGGCGCTAGGAAGGAGGAGATGTGCGGCTGGACCGGTGCTGTAAACAGACGCTGCGAGGTCCCCAGAAGGCTGCGGCAAGGTCCCCAGCAAGCGCAGGACCTTACGCCAGGCGCTCGTGTTTAAAGATTTAAAGCGCTGATATCGGTGCTTAGTATCGGGGCATTTTCACGAGTATGACTACTCGTGAAAATGCCCGGTATCGGCACTGATACTGGAATCGATATCGGTGCATCCCGAATTATTATTATTATGATTATTATTATTTTTCCAATTTTGTGTTAATAATAATAATA